TGCTCTGAGCTTTTAATCTATTTTAGATCTATCCACCTCTATGTACAATGGCATCCCAAAATGGAGCCTCCATGAACAAGTCTACGAATTGTTTGGGGACAGACAGCTATGCTAGTTGGCTTCCCCTTGCAGCATTTGGCCTAATTAAGAATAGTATACTGGCCTTGACTTTTTATTACATAACAAACAAAATTAACTTAAGTTATTGGTTTAAAATATTTATTAGCCACCTCTCTACCTTACAAAATAGTAAAAAGTCCAGTAGCACCTTTAAGACTAACAAACTTTATTGTAGCATAAACTTTTGAGAAACACAGCTCTCTTCGTCAGAGAGCTTCGTTAGAGGGCTGTGATTCTCAAAAGCTTATGCTACAATAAAATGTGTTAGACTTAAAGGTGCTACTGGGCTTTTTACTGTTTTGCAGCAGCAGACTAACACGGCTAAGTCCTCTGCATCTCTCTACCTTACAAGAATTCAAGGCAGCTGATGGCAATAAAACACAATGAAATCCATGAAACCACGAATTTAAAATCAACACTTTTAAACTGCAGTTCAGCAGAAGAGCTGAAATTAAGAGAAAGTGACCTTTTCATCCTCTCCCCCCCCCCATTCTCTTATCCACGCTTTTTAAACAATCCATCTTAACCACCCCCAAATACGGCGCCTTGCCTCCTTTCCTCTCCTCCCAAACGATACTCTCTGCCATCTTCACTCACGAGGGTCCGGCGAACGTCTTGCATTTCTCATCCAACCACAACCATCGCAGCCAGGTCAGGTGACTCGCTCACGCTCACGCTCACGCTCCCCCTCGATTTCTCATTCGTCCAATCGTGTTCCCGCTTTCGAATCGCGGAAGAGAAAAGAGTGACGAGCAAAGACGCCCGGATATATAGAGGAGCGGTAACACAAACGTGAGGCATAAAGTGCATTTCCGGCTCCGATTTGAAGTTTAGTGCCGGGAATCAAGGGAGCGAGTACATGTTTGGGTCTCCGCTCGCTGGCTGACAGGACAGATAATCCAGCAAGCCTCACTCTGTTCGGTTCAAATGTTTTAGCCATGCTTTGCTGTTGATTGGATGAGTCCATTCTCCTAAGCAGGCATTTTCTTCAGCCTAACTGATCTCTGTTGTCAGGAGATCCATTGTAATTCCTGCAGAACTCCAGGCCCCACCCCAGAGATTGGCAACTTTGGCAGACTTCCACCCCCCATTTTTAAAGAAAGTGGACGTCCTTTGGCTCCCTGGAGACCATAGGGTTGCCAGCTTCCAGTTGGGAAATATCTGGAGTGATCTCCAGCCCTCAAGTGGAGATTGGCAGCAGTGGTTCCCCAGGAGAAAATAACTGCTTTGGGGGGTGGACTCTATGGCATTCTATTCAGCTGAGGCCTCTCCCCTCCCCAAACTCTTGCTTCCATAGACTCCACCACAAAATATCTAGGCATTCCCCAACTTGGAGCTGGCAACCCTAGTCAGAACTGGCCCCAATGAGTTCCCATGGAAAGGGCCTCCTGCCTTTGCCTTTTTACTGACAGAACCAAGCTTGGTTGCATAGCAACAGCTACTTTGTTCTATCTCCAGGTGAGGGCTGGAGATCACTCAGAATTAAAACTGCTCTCCAGATGGCAGAGATCAGTTCCACTGGGAAAAATGGCTGCTTTGCAGTATGGACTCTGTGTCATTATACTCTGCTGAGGTCACTTCAGTCCTGCTTGGGTCTCCACTGCAGAGAAAGACTACTTTTCTTAGGTAGAGGCTGCAGGGATGGGGGTACAGATGGAAAGCTGAAGTCAGAGGGGCAGATAAAGGTAGGTTGATGGTTAGCTGGGAAGGAGATAGGGCTGCCTACTCCAGGTTGGGAAATTCCTGGAGATTTAAGGGGTGGAGCCTGGAGAGGGTGAGGTTTGAGGAGGGGTGGGACCTCATACAGGTACAGTGCCATAGACTCCATTTTCCAAACCATCCATTTCCTCCTGGGGAAACATTATTGCCAATCTCCAGGTGAGGGCTGGAGATAACTCAGAATTACAACTGCTCTTCAGATTACAGAGATCAGTTCCGCTGGAGAAAACGTTGGACTCTGTGTCATTATACCCTGCTGAGGCCACCACAGCAAATTGACGCTGAACACCCAAGGCCGGGGCACCTGCCCAGAGCTTCTTTCTCGAGTTCATTGTATTTATTTCCACAATGGGCCTTATTCGTAGACATTATATAAACTCTTAAGGGCATTGCCAGACTGTTAGTTTGTAACCACCATCTAAGACCAAACTATATCACAGTTTATTTAAAGACAATTCCGCAGCTGGCACCACAGCGCAAGGATCTTCACTGTGTGCCTAAAGGAGAGCTGTGGAAGCCATTGTTTGGCTGGCCCCACTCCCTCCTATAGTCATGTTGTGGTTGCGCCCATGATGCTGAGCCAGAATTCCAAAAGTTCCCACAGGTTCACAGAGGTTGGAGACCAGTGCTGAAGTACACCGACCTTTGCTCTGGTTCAGAAAGACTACACAGAGAGAGAGAGAGAGCACATGGTTATTAGCTACTAACTATAGCTAAATGGAATGTGCCGCTGAATACCATATGGGGGAAGGTACACAGCAGGAAAAGAACTGGACCTTGTTGTAAACTGGTTCGGACCTTGAGATCTGATCCTGCAATGGAACGCCGCTGTTGTCCCATACCCATCATTGTGTCCGAGCCATAGGAGATCAACCAGACAAAATACAAGCAGCAGTCATAAGTTCCGACTTTCATGTGCTGGAGTCGAAGTTTCCGAAGGGACAATTCAGAAGTCGTTACTGCGGAAGCACATGCAGAACACCGTGGAGGGGGGGGGGAGAGAGAGAGAGATGACGGACAAACTGTCAACTTTGTGTCACCCCGTCCTGTCGTTAAGTTCTGATGGCCCCGCAACTGGCCGCGATCCATCCGGAACTGGAAGTATTCGCGCGGCTTCCTGGAGTCCTTGCCCCTCGGCAGATCCCTCTGGACCAATCAGCGTCTGATGAGAAATCCACCTGCCTTCGGAGCGCCTAATTCAAACGGGCAAGTTCAGACTTGTCCCGGCCGCAGCAAAAGCGGTGGGGAAACGAAACTCTACCGCGAAGGAAGATTTTTTTTTGATCCTCTGGCTAGTGCGTAGAAAGTGAAGAACGCAGCCTTGCAGAATAGCCAAGAGTGGGGAAAAGGCGCGACAACGTGTGGAAGGGCTGAAGTACCGTGCCATCCAAGCTTCTTACTGGCTTACTGGATTACTGTGTGATCAATAGGACGTACTCCCAGGTAAGTGCATCTAGGACATGTGGACTGTCCTCTGTATGTTTTTCTCAGAAGTCCTGCTATTTTTAATGGCGCGCTCTTGTATAGGTGTGCCTGGAATTGCAGCTTTGCAGACTGATCCTGCGCTGCTGTACCCAGAAACAACAGTATTGTATGTTCTCCTTACAAATGACACTAGGGATCAGTACCTGCACAACTGTTAACCTCCAGGTGGTGGCTGGAGATCTGGGATTACAACTGATCTCCAGGAGACAGAGGTTCATTCACTTGGAGAAACTAACCGCTTTGGAAGGTAGACCGGATGGCATTATGCCCCACTGAAGGTTCTTCCCTCCCCAAACTCCGCCTTCCTCAGGCTGCACCCCCAAATCTCCATGTATTTCGCAACCCAGAGCTGGCAGCACTTATTACATGAATAAATATGGGGTTTAAAGCATGTGTGGAGCTGCACATGCACTGAATGGAAACTCCAAGTGTACACTGAGTGTACAGGTGGTGACTGTAACTTGTGAACAGGGCAAATTGCTTACATTGAAGAGGCTTGTCATCCTCATAATAGAAGAATCAGCACCCAATCCTGTTACTTTAACTCCTAGTCTATCCAGTGGAGTTATTATTTGGTAAATATGGAAACAATCCTGAGTAAACTGACATAATTTATAATTTATGCAGTGGGGCTTATTCCCAGAAAAAAAATATTCTTTGGATTGTAACCGTACAGCCTAGTTCTGACCTATGCAGTATTCAGGATGCCTAATTTGAAATCATTGGTCTAAGGTGTGCCTAATAAGGCAAAAGACGGGACCAGTGTTCCCTCTAAGCTGAGTTAGTGTGAGCTAGCTCACCATTTTTTAGCCTCCAGCTCACACATTTTTGTCTCAGCTCAGGAAGGATGGCTCTAGAGGAAACTAATTTATGTAGTAGCCAAATTGCTTGCTCACAACTTTAATGCCAGTAGCTCACAAAGTAGGATTTTTGCTCACAAGACTCCACGGCTTAGAGGGAACATTGGACGGGACTGACCTGAGACTACGTGCTATTGAAGATTAGGTGTTTACATAAGCTCAGGCAGCACAGCTACAGCCCTAAGGATGGTAGAAAGTGTTGACAAGTTGCAGATGAACAGAGGTGGTTTGCTGTTGCTGTGTAGCAACCCTGGACTTCCATGGTGGTCTCCCATCCAAGACCTAAATAGGACCGTCCCTGCTTAGCTTCTGAGATCTGGCTAGATTGGTCTCGCCTGGGCCATCCAGCTCAGGGCTCTAGCTTTAATAGTGTGTGGTAATTTGCGTTTATGCAGTGTGCATATGATCAGGCCACAAAATGCCTTGTCTCCTCATTTAGCACGGGTGGGCTATTCCGGCAGCAGTACCTTTTTCTAAGACCAATGCCAAAACATAATCCTCTAACATCGTCTTGCAGAATCCCTTCACAGTCCTGTATCTGTTGCTGTTTGCCTGAATGTCTTTGAAGAGGTGATCAATAAAACATCCACTTAGCCTTGACTGTGATCTGTTTGCTTGAAAATACCTATTGCCTAACTCAGCTAATGAATTTTAGGCTGGATTAACCACCATGTTGGGGCAGTGGCCTCTGAATTGCCAACAGCTTTTAAACGTATGCAGGTATTTGTAAAGTGTTTCAAAATGAAAATGCTCTGTAGAGATACTAAGGTTCCGCATTGATTTGCTTGTTCCTACCTTTGCCTGTGCAGGTGGAAAATGGCCGCTGCCAGGGACCAGCTGCAGCTCAGATTAATAACTGACTACCCTGAAGATGTCATAAATGTAGGGAAAATAACGTTTGGTGAAAAACAAAGAGACGTGAAGGAGAGGGGTAAAGAGATTGGAGCAAAGGTTCGGGAGCAGAACAAGAAGGAGAAGTCCAAAAAATCCAACAAGGATATTGAAAAAGAAATAAGCGAATTAAAAAAGGAGCTAGAAGAGAAACTAGGAATTCAAAACACTAATCTCACCCAAGCAGCCTGTGCCCTGCTCAACTCAGGGGGAGGCGTGATAAGAGCTGAAATTGAGAATGAAGGCTATTCCTATAAGCAACACGGGTTTGGACTGGACATAGGGAAGTCCTTTCGGGAGTGTGTTCAATCTGATTCCTTTTCTAAATATTTTGACATAGTCCAGGAAGGTTCTTGCTTGCATATCTGGGTCAAAACATGGAGTACCGAGAGCATATCGCAACCTGCAGTAATATCAAAGGCTCGCCTTTGTTGCCTGGATACTGGGCTGCTTCAGCGATCCGTCACCTCAGCTGTGAAAATGAAACCTTTGGAGGCTCTGGATTTTCTGAAAGTGAAGCAAGCTTCTGCTAAGAAAGATCCTGCAGAGATGGCAGGGCTGATTCGGAAGAGGGCTTCTCTTTGGGACGACATACAGCATTCAAGAGGAGCCGGCATGCAGGTGGAAGAAGATATTCTCAAGGCCGCTGCTCGGTTTTTTGAACGAGACTGGCTAGAATATGAAGAGTTCCTGGATTTCACTGAGTCAACAGAGGTTGAGTTCAAGGGATTCCCGTATTTGGCTAAGTCAGCAGAGGTTGAGTTTACGGCTGAGAACATCCTGGAATTTGTTAGAGCCAAGCTGCCCAACTACATCTCTGCTTTTGCAAACACCAAAGGGGGATACTTAATTTTTGGCGTGGGTGATGATCGGAAGGTTATTGGATACGAAGTAAACTTACAGCCAGATCAACTGAAAATCGAAGTGCAGGAAACCATTGATAAGTTGCCCCACTTCCATTTCTGTGCTTCTTTAGAGAAAGTCGCAGCTGAATGTAAAATCATGCCTGTTTATGAAACGAATGGAACAAAGCATGGCTGTGTCCTTGCTGTGAAGCTTGAGCCATTTTGCTGTGTTGTTTTTGCGGCAGCTCCTGATTCTTGGATTGTGAAGGACCACCATGTAAAGAAATTGCGAGTTGATGAATGGATTGAACTGATGACAGCAGAAGACCCAGGTCCTCTTACAGTGATGAGGCTTGTAGAGTTTAATGTGCAGTTTATTTGTATGCTGGATGTCTATGAGTCTCCCTGCTTCCATATTGATTAACCCTTTCTCTCTGGAAGAGATTTGTTTGCGGTCGCGCAGAAAGGGCCAGGGCATAGAAAAGAAAGACCTTTTTTCTTTAACAGTTCTGCGTGAAACCCTGTATGGTCAAGAAAGCATCCCAGTCCTGGTCCAAATCCATTCTCAGAAATCATGAGTAAAAGGGAATTTTGTTAACCATTTCATTCATGTTCCAGTGGAGATGCAGGCTTAGGTTGTAACACATCCCTGATGTGGGAGAATAGAGCTACACTCCAGTTTGAAACCCTCCTCCCCCACTGACGCCTTTAACCCTGTAAAGGATTCTCTCTCATTTCCTTGCCAAGCTTCACAGCACAGTTTGACCGGGAAAGAGAAGCAACACAGGAAGGGGGGAGGGGTCGGTCCAGGCCATGGGAGGCATGGTGTGAACACTCTGCACTGTTGAACAAGCCTGCTAGAGGAGGGAGTGCAGCTGAGTGGAGCTGCTGAGTTCAGGAAGCAGTCTCCTAACTGGATGGTGTTCGGGCAAATGGGGTTCCCATGTTGCACAGATAAGGAAAGGAGGGGAGCCTTTGGGTAGACAGGAGATGAGTTTGATGCAAATTAAAAGAAGAGGAATTATACAGATAGAGTCATATGATGGAGAAACAAACTTCATTCACTGCTGTTGCTCTTGTTAGGAAGGAATATAGTAGGATACCAGAGCCTTGTGCCAAAAAGCATGTAGCTTAGGGGAGGGGCTGTGGCTCAGTGGAAGAGCTTCCGCTTTGCAAGTGGAAGATCCAGGTTCAAATCTCTGACATCCCCAGTTAAAAGGATTGGGCGATACGGGATGCTGAAGACCTCTGCCTGAAACTCTAGAGACTAGAGCTGCTGCCAGTCTGAGTAGACAATACTGACCTGGATGGCCCAATGGTCTCATTCAGCATAAGGCAGCTTTGTGTGTGTTTCATGAGTGAACTAAGATACTTTGAACTAAGGTCCTAAAATGTTTCTCTGAGTGCTTGGGTCAAAATCTCTTTGTGCTTTCATTTGTGGCATCAGGGTTGTAGTGTTGTCAGGCTGGGTGTCTCCAGTCCTGTCCTGTCTTTTGCCACAACTCTTATTTTTGTACTGCAGAAGCCCTTGTTTCAAGGGCCCTATATGAATGGCAGAGGCAAGTTGGCCACAGACAGGCCTGCAGAATGGATGCTTGATGGTAGCAGGCAGTGCCCCATCCCAGACTTTGGGAAACTAACAAGGAAAACTAGAGGTGTAGATTTGCACTCATTGGCCATGGTATTTCAGAGTGAGTCAAACACTTGTGTCTATGATTGGGTGAGATGTTTGTCTTAACATGAACAGAGTTTTTATTTTTCCTTTATTTCCTAGATCTTTCCCACTTTGATCAAGGCTTCCAGATTGAATTGAGTAGGTCCTGTAAGCCTCCACTCACTAAATCGGTATATTCTGCTAAAGGCCTCAGCTGTTTGAAGGATCTTCAAAGCACTCTATGCCCTGGTGGGTTTCCGTGTTGATTCTGTAATATCAAACACAGGGGTTGTGTCAATTGGTGAGACGGTTATATCACATCCTGCTTTTATTCTGTACAAAACAGCCTGTTTCAAGAGTGGGTAAGAGCATTAATAATGGCACCATTTTAAAATGGCATTTTACACACAGGGAGGTATGTGAGAGACATATGGCCAAACAGCTAGCTAGCAATAAAAATCCACATTTCTGCATGGCTTTTGGTTTACTGTCCACAGGCCATCAGTAGGGTTGTCTCCTCCTGGAAAGAACATTTCTATTCAGGATGAAATCCAGAAGGGGCCCAGGAGTCTTGGGCTGATCTGAGGCAGGATCTTAGTTATTTGGAAAAGGTATTGGGGCACTGTACAACATTTGCCAGACTATTTTACTGGTTAGTCAGCAAACATCTCCATGATGCCCCCCAAGGCATTCTTGCATATTCTGTGCCTACTTGTCAAAATCTCACATTAAAGGGTATGTTTTGCGAAACTATTGATATGACTGCTGGGGGTATGGAACGTGCCATGTGACTGTTGTCCTCATCCTTTGCCAATACCCTTCCCCCCCCCCCCCCCCCCCCCGCGATATTTCATTGGCTTTTGTGTATTTATAAAAACACAGTGGAAAGGGGAGGAAGACTTCAAGCATTCTGGCACCTGCAATTTTGTATGAAAATGTCTTCCTCTTTGAGGTACTAGAATTCTGTTTACAGCAATAAACCGCCATTCTGCTGTATATTAGTATGTGTAGACTGACCTGTTATTGAAGGCTGAGACAATTGTTTTAAAGCACCTTAACCTGTGTATGGATTATGTATGTGTTCCTCCACCACTGAAAGGTTGAAAGAACAGAACAGGTCAGTTCTGAAGCCTGTCACCTTTCTTTTTGGCTCTTAGATTCCAACACATACAATTCTCCCCTCCCCAACTGCCTAAGCTCTTAACTGGAGGAATTTGTTCATCACCTCTCTCTCTCTCTCTCTCTCTCTCTCTCTCTCTCTCTCTCTCTCTCTCTCTCTCTCCTTTCTCTCCTTTCTCTCCAGTAACTCTCTTAGTTTTATGTGTCCTCTCGTGATGCTAAGTCCTCCCTGCTACAAGCACAAATGTGTGAAGTCTTTTTTACTGTTTGCTAAATTTTGCCGCCTCTTTGTGCCGTGGATGCTATTCTCTGTTGCCTTCCTCCCCAGTCCACTAAGCTTGCAGTAACTTCAATAGTGTCTTAAGGATTATTCTTATCATTTTAAAATAAAATATTCTCAAATTTCTAGGAGATTCAAATGGGATAATTTATAAATCAGAAGAACTCTGTGCAGAACTCTTTTCTGAGTATCTGGGACTGAAGAACATTATGAACAAGAAGATGAAGGAGCTACAATTTTCTAAGGGAGTCCTGGTTTTTTCAAGAAGCTGGGCTGTTGATGTTGGGCTGCGGCAACATCCATGTGTCGCCTGTGATATCCTCTTAGTAGCCACAGACACAGTTCCAGTGCTATACACAATTATTGTGGATAAGAATTATTCTGACTCTTCAACAATCCCTGTGTTGCAATATTCAAGGAATGTTGCCCGTATATTAAAGCAGAAACTGGTGAATGAAGGGGGGTATACTCGGAAAGTATGTGTGGTTCCACATGTCATTGAACTTGGATCCAATGGAGAGGTAAAGACAGATCTGAGTTTGCCAGTCCCATACCCTCTCACCTATGTGGTCTCCAGGGAAGATTTAGAAGAACTGACGCAAGCCCTTGCGATTGTCTTGCTAAGGTTTAGGTCTTCCTTAAGTGACCAGCTTGGCTGTGAATTTTTCAACCTTCTCACCACTAAGCAGCATGAGATCCTAACGAAGAATCTCCATAAGAGCAAGAAGCTGTTTGTCTATGGCCTTCCAGGATCAGGGAAGACTGTCGTGGCCTTACAGATCATACAGAAAATGAAAAATGTATTTCACTGCAGCTCTGACGAGATCCTTTACATTTGTGAAAACAGACCGCTGTGTGAGACTGTGAGGTAAGTGTTTTGCAAGGCAGTCTGTAGAAACATCCATGTCCCACATCCCTTCAGTTGTCACAGGAATGGCTGAGGCCAGGAATTGGGGACAAAGAATGGCAGCTGTTGTGTGATACAAGGTGTGTACTGGTAGCAGAAATAATTGGTTTTGCAGGAAAAAAAATAGTATATGCTGAAAGCACATCAAACCATTCCTGAAATTTAAGTTTCTGCAAGTTACTTGCAGGCAGTCTAGAGTGTTTTTAATTAGCTTTTGGCAAATGGTGTCTGCAAATCACTTATTCAATGCTGATCAAGCTCAGAGGAAATGTTAGCTTTTAGATGGATTTGGCTCGTTGTTGCTGGAGAAAGACTAAATCCGACACTGCAAGATAGTTCTTCTATTGGGTAGGCAGAGTGGGAATTAGATTACTGATCCACTTACGAAAACACACTGCCTAGCTTGCCCTCCTAGTCTGGGTAGCGAACAAGTTTTAATAAAGGAAAGATAGCAAGACACCCAGTAGTTTAATTAAAGAGGAGTTGACAAACCATATGAGAAATCTAGTGACTTCCAGTGAACATTTTGGCTAGTAAATTAGAATGCACATAACTTTCTACGTACATGCCTCCTAACTATCCAGCCAGGATACCTTGGGGAACCATTCCCCAGTATCTGGTGCTTTACCTTATGACTGTATTTTTCCTGTCTCATAATTTAATATTCCCCGATGCAGGCAGGCAGATGGGAGATGCCAAAATGGTTGCTGTAGTGTAAAGTTAGGATGCGTGGCCTAAAGAGTCTAGCAGTAGTTCTGTTTCCTATGAGATCCACTGATTACTTGTTATGTACAGAAATAACAGTGGCTGGGATCCAGACTATCATTTTTGCAGGTGCAAGTCTTTCTGTCCACAAAGCATGATTATCTTGCCTCCCTTTCCCACAGCAGTTAGAAATGCCCCCCCCCCCCATCTGGTTCCTTGGGTCCCCTGTCCTCCCAAAACTGGATTGCAGTGGGCATTTGGGACTGCTACAGCAGGGAGAATGTAAGGAAGCCAGATTCTGTGAGTGGAAATCCTTGCACCCCTGGAAATGCTAGTCTGATTCGGGCCAGTAAATAAACACCTAATTTTTCTTTTCTTTTCTAGAATGAAAAATATTTGCCAGGCTGTAACACGAGTCAGTTTTTTAAAAGGGAAATACACTCAATCAGTGAAGCACATCATAATTGATGAGGCCCAGAATTTCCAGTCCGAAGACGGTGATTGGTATGGGGAAGCTGTGAAAATTACACAAGCAGCTGCTCATAAGCCTGGCATTTTATGGATCTTCTTGGATTATTTACAAAAAACACACACATTTGATTGTGGGCTTCCTCCTCCCTATGCTCAGCAACCTCAGGAATGGTTAACTCTTGGGGTGCGGAATGCCACTGAAATTTTTGATGCCATGAAAGAACAAATGCATAACATACTGTGCAGTCCCAATGAACCTGGCATTCCTTATGAACAGTTAGAAGCTTTGGTAGAAGAAGCTCAGTGTGGTCACAGTCTAGGAGGTATTTTAGTTAAACCTAAGGTGAATGATGAAAATGCAATAGCAGATTATATAGTAAGTAAGTGTCTTCAGTATTTCCGAGATGGTTATTCTGGAAAAAACATAGCTATTCTATGCAGTACTGCAATAGAAAGGAATAAATATCGACTCTTACTCAAGTCTAAAATGCCGAGACAGATGAGAAAATTAAAGTTGTCTGTAGACTTCACAGAAGCAGATGACGCAAAGGGGGACAGCATCGTTTTAGACAGTGTTCGCCGTTTTTCAGGCCTCGAAAGAAGTATTGTGTTTGGCATTTATCTACATTCTCAGTCAATGGATACTGTTGATAATATGTTACTCTGCATGATATCGAGGGCCAACTTGCACTGTCATTTGATGTTTGAGTATCCCAGCTGGAAGCTCCCATAAGTTTCTGTTTCCGCCCAAATTTTATAGGTTTATACAAACTGTAACCGAACTTTTAAATATAACCACTCTAAGCCAGGGGTCCCCATCATAGCATCCGTGTGCACCATGGTGCCTGCCAAGTGTTTTTAGAAAGTGAGTGGGTCTTTTTGAGTTTTTAATATTTATGGTATAATGCAGGCAGTGGCTTTGTGCAAAGTGCTTTACCTGTGCAACGAATGGAGTAATATTCTAAAAACACAATGAGATTTGATTTTGACTAAGTACAGCTGGAATGCATGGCTACAACTCTTGATGCACCTAACTGGAACTTGTATTGAAATCATCAGCTCTTCCCAGTTTTAATGTTATTAACTTCTGTTTGAATTATAAAAATATAACAGCACTATAAAAAATCTTGTTCACTTTTCAGAAATCATGTTCCTATCAAAATCTGCCCAGATTCTCTCTCTTGTAGTATATGTGTGCAAGGGAGTTCTCAGTAGCCCTTCAGCATCAGTTGTCATTCATATAAATAATACTACAGGCTAAAAAATGGCTGGTGTCATGAGAATAGGGCTTATGTAGCCAGAAGTGTTTATTTCCTTTTGCACAAGCATGTTAGATGCCTGCAAAATGAAGATAGATACTGCCAGGTGAGGGTTTCTTAGCTAGCTCAATATGTATACGTATTTTGTCTATATACAAGAAAATATTTTTCAACAATAAAGGGCATTCCATGAAACAGACTTCTGCCTGAAATGCTGAAGACCTACTGTAACAGTTATGCATAATCTCATTCCCTGATATTTCATGGTTGGCTCTGCCTCCCATGGCAGCCATTTTGGCTGTTGTCCCTTCTAAGATGTCATCTGCTGTCTACAGTTAATAAGGTTAAGCATGGTATTACAAGCATGCTTCTCTTGAAAGATAATCTTGGTTTTAAGAATACTAACCCTGAGTCAGAAGTGGGTTTTCCTGTGGTACCAGTGAGGGTTTCTTCTTCACAACAGGGGTGCTTTGTGTGATGTTGTGGCTAAAGTTGACCATGTAGCCCAGTGCCACTAGCCCTGCAACTGCAGCTTGTCAAAGCAAGAAATCTGAACTCCGCTACCTTATCCTGGCTCCTGAACTGAAATGTTATACATGCCATCATGGGAACAAATTACTTTAATTTTGTTGTACTGCTGATTTATTACTGTTATAATAGCCTGTTTTATAGCTGTTTGTAAGTAGCCGTCAGTGTTACAGAAAGGTGGAATATAAAAATTAGCAGCAGAATACAGTTTATAAGTGTGTAAAACAAAGACCAAAGAAGTAATAAATCCTCTTGATCCGTTTTCCGAGCTGTATTTAGATATACTTTGTGAGTCTTCTATCTGTAACATCTCTGTGTTTGATGTAACTTTATAGGACCAACAATTCATAATAAATTACCAATCAGTCAGTTGTCTGCATTGTGTCTGCTGCCAAGCATATGAGCACCTGGGAGACCTATTGTGCAGTGCTGGGATGCTCTCCCTTTAAGAACCAATCTGCCACTATACACAAGCCGCCACAATCTCACAGACATGAATAGGTATAATGGAGCTCTGTGATGTATATTCAACAAAGTGGTAAATTCTCGCAGTGCTCTAAGTAGAAATGCTGCTTTTTCATATATGTGTATTTTACAAACCCCTACCTGTCTCCAGATCCATGCTTGTTTCTCTTTGACATTTCTCCCATGCTGAAGAGCAAACAACAAATTCCAATAACTAAAAAATAAGTCTCTAGCCCTCATAGTAAACCCCCTAGAAATAACAGGCAATCTGCCTCTGAATTCTGGCTCCTGGGGCCAAACAAGAGGAAAGGGCAGTTGCCTTCACATCCTCTGGATTTTCCCGAAGCATCTGACTAACCATAGCTAAAAACAAGATGCTGGACTAGCTTGACCTTTGTTGTGATCCAGCAAGACCATTCTCATGTCTTTGTATAAAATTCATTGCCAAAGTACACAGTGATTGCCTTTAAGCTACGTGGAGTTAAAGGGGATTAACTAAATTCATGGAGAAGAGGTCTGTCAATGGCCATGAGAGCTAAATGGAGCCTCCATGTTTTGACGCAGTATACCACCGAATGCCAAGCTGCTTCAGACAAATAGCTGGGGGGATATTCTGCTTTAATACCTCACTTATGGGTTTCACAGGAGCACCCTGCATGTCATTTGTGGGAACAGCATGCTGGATCAGATGGGCCTTTTAGCTCTGAGCTTGCAAAATGGTTCTTCTTTAATGCACAAAGTGCACACACTATTTCTATGATCCGCTTTATTCTCTTCCCACCTGCTATCTGCCCTACCCAAGAAGTCTTTTTCTAACCTTCCTCACCAGTGATGCTGTATGACACCATCTTGTTCTTGCATCCAAAGCTTAGCCAACTTACACCCTCTCTCATCTGGTGGTGGTGGGGGGAAGACTAACTGAAAGGACTATTTTGAAGGACGGTTATATTCTATTGTTGCTTCAGTTCTCTCCAAAATGGAGTAATAATGCTGGGCTACATTGATAGGTCATAAGCTATGTTCTTAGCCTCATTCCCCCACAAACTGCCATACAGGGAATAATAGTAGACTACATCGTAAGCCTTCTGTAAATCACTCTTCCTTAGCCTGCAATATGAAAACATTACAGGGTTGTTATAATCCACTCTTAGCCTACAACAACATCCCTCTTATATACAACTTAAGGGTAACATTGGACTTCACTGCAGGGGTGTCATAAGCAGTGTTCCCCCTAAGGTGAGTTAGTGTGAGCTAGCTCACAGGTTTTTAGCCTCTGGCTCACACATTTTTGTGTTTGCTCAGGAAGCTCCAGAGCAAACTAATTTATGCAGCAGCCAAATCGCCCGCTCACAACTTTAATGCCGGTAGCTCACAAAGTAGCATTTTTGCTCACAAGGCTCTGCAGCTTAGAGGGAACATTGGATAAGACACTCTCACAGTATGGTGGGGAAAATATGGGGTACTTTATTTGTCTGCTGCTTGCAATTGTCAAAGGTGGCAACCATGGCTAACTTATACAAATTTACAGAGAACTAAATTTTCCTGGGGTGTATGTGCTTTTTATCCCAAAAGAACTGAAATCTCAGCAAGAAGAGAAGTCGCTGATGGCTTTTCAGGCCCAGATTTTTCAGGTTTGTGAAACTACTACTGGGCTGAATCTGCAGAGCTGATGTGAACTCCTGAGGTCCCCCCCCCCTTTTTTTTGTTGTTAAAACTGTAAGCATGGAGGCTTTTTGACAGGAGTGACATTATCCCCGCCACCCTCAGAAATACCTTCTTGGCCATTCTGGGTAACAAGTTTTCATTTAGACTAACCAAAATATCACTAAGGGAAAAGCATCATGATTTTTAAAAAAATTAGAGTATTCTCGTTTTAAAAAAAAATAAATTGCACTATATTGTTTTTGGAATTTTTCTGTGGCTCAGTGTGCTCCCCTGAATATTCATAAACTCCTGAGGTAATTTTTTTTTTTTTTAACTAGCCTTTGAGGTCTTGTCTAAAGGACAGCTGACAGGATTTGTGTGTGGTTGCCTTTAGAAACACACCTCCTTGGCTGCTCTTAGCCAACGGTTGTGAGAGTTCGTTGCTTGAATAGACGCTGCGAGTTCTTCGCCCAGGTCTAATTTATTTTTATTTATTTAAATGCTTATAATAACCCCCAAACAACTGAAAGCAGGTGTAATATATTCAAACAGGAAGAGCAAGGAATCACATCGGCTTCAGCAAACCAAGTGGAAGAAGTTTCCAGAACTCCCTGGTATTTTGCTAGATGGCTCACAAGAGGTCTCCTGCTGTCATGAAGTAAAGCCACCCTGAGCTTTATCACAACAGGGTGTCTTGGGCAGACAAGCCGCTTCGGAGAGTTGTCCTTCCATGCCATCTTCTGTCCATTTGGTGGAACTTACATGCCATTTGTGCGTAAAACTGAATGGTTGACCTTTAAGGTCTCAAAAACGAGGGAAGAGGGAAGAAGGTTCTAGAACCCGCCTGCTTCTGTTGCGGGCTAATTAATTCTGTTTTCAGTTCCTGTTTTATCCAGTTAACAACATCTGAGTAAAAGAATCTGCCGTCAGATACTGGGTGTGGAGAAGACCAGACTTGGTTTTGTGGGTTGGACTTCCTAATTTACCCCATTCTTTCCTCAGCTTGCCATCTCATACCTTAGAGCAGAGGCTGAATAGCATACTGCTCCCAAATGGCCACTGTTGCTAGGCAAGGTCAGTGCGGTGTAGTGGTTAAGAGTGTTAGAAGACCCAGGTTCAAATCCCCACTCTTGGCAAGGAAGCTTGCTGGGTGACCTTGGGCCAATCATACTCTTTCAGCCTAACCTACCTCACAGGGATGTTATGCGGATACAACGGAGAGCGATGTAAGCCACTTTGGGTCCCCACTGGGAGAAAAGCGGAGCATAAACTAATCGAATAAATAAATACAATTGTGAGGATGATCTTCGGAGTTTGGTTCCTCTGTGAAGTGCTGTCCCTTTCACAGCACTTCAGAAAAAGTCATGGATTCATAAAGAACCTGGAAGTCTAGACAGCAGGGAAAGGAGCTTTTTAAATGACTGCTCCCTGGTTACCCTGCCTCCTTGTGAATAGCAAGGGTGGGATTGTACCTCTTCTAAGACACACGGGACCAAAGGGCCACAGTTACACACTGCCCCATTTTCACCCTGCCAATTGCATTACACAGCATGGGGGGAGCCACTTCTCTAGACATTGCTCTATGCTATTTCTGGGCATCTGTTACCTCACATGTGGCAACCAATGTTCCCTCCAAGCTGTGGAGTCTTGTGAGCAAAAGTTCTCCTTTGTGAGCTACTGGCATTAAAGTTGTGAGCAAGCAATTTGGCTACTGCATAAATTACTTTGCCATGGAGCCATCCTTCCTGAGCTAAGACAAAAAGTGTGAGCCGGAGGCTAAAAAACTGTGAGCTAGCTCACACTAACTCCGCTTAGAGGGAACACTGGTGGCAACATCAAACTGAGAACTGGTGGTGTGGCTGCAAAGGCTGCTGGAGCTTTGATCAAGGTCCTCATTCCTTGTAGTCAAATAAACATTAGTATCAGCATTGTGCCCTGACCTGGACAGCCCAGGCTAGACCAATCTCAGCTGCTGAACAGGGTTAGCCCTGGTTAGTACTTGGATGGGAGATCACTAGAGATGTGAAAGCCCGGAAAAAACCTGGAAAAATTCGGAAAAAAACTGTTTTTTCCCCATTTTTTTTCCTGAAGCCTTTTTTTGTTTTTTTCCGAAAAATTTGAAAAATTGAAAAAAGAAAAGAAAAAAATTGATTATGGAACATTTTATTTTAACATGATGAATAACATATTTTAAGACAAGGTGTTCAAATATTTTCCAAATCATTTCACACACACACACACACACACACACACACACACACATATATATATTAGGAATAAGGCCCGTTGTGGAAATAAATACAACGAGATCTAGAAAGAGGCTCTTGGAGAGTGCTCTGGCTTTGGGCAAACAGTGTCAGTTTGCTGTGGTGACCTCAGCAGGGTATAATGACAGAGTCCACTGTTTTCTCCAGAGGAACTGATCTCTGCTACCTGAAGAGCAGTTGTAATTTTGAGTGATCTCTAGTCCTCACCTGGATATTGGCAACAATTGTTACCCAGGATGAAATGGCTGGTTTGGAGGGTGGAATCTATGGCATTCTACCTGTCTGAGGTCCCACCCCTCCGTAAACCCCACCCTCTCCAGGCTCCACCCCTCAAATCCCCAGGAATTTGCCAGCCTGGAGTTGGCAACCCCATCTCCTTCCCAGCTAACCATCAACCTACCATTATCTGCCCCTTTGACTTCAGCTGACTTCCGCCCTCCCTTCTGCAGAGCAATTGTAATTTTGAGTGGTCTCCAGCCCTCACCTGGAGATTGGCAACAATGGTTCCCCATGAGGGACTGAGTGGTTTGGAGGGTGGAGTCTATGGCATTGTACCTGTCTGAGGTCCCACCCCTCCTCAAACCTCACCCTCTTCAGGCTCCATCCCTCAAATCTCCAGGAATTTCCCATCGGGAGTTGGCAACCCTATCAGGATTGGCCCCAATATGTTTTCTCCCAAAGGCCAAAGTAGGTGACTGGACCAAACTAAGTTGCCTACCATCAGGCACTGAGGGGAAAGTAGGGTTGCCAGCTATAAGGAGGGAAATACCTGGAGTGTTGGGGGGTAGATTCTGTAGAGGGCAGCATTGGGGGGGCGTGGAAGGACTCAGCAGGTATAATGTCATAAGGTCTACCCTCCAAAGCAGGCATTTTCTCCAGGGGAAACTGTCATCTAGAGATCAATTTTAGCAGTGGGAGATCTCCAGGTCCCACCTAGGGAAACCCTAGGGGAAAGTCAGCTGCACAGCAGGGGGTTGAAGAGAATGGTTTGATGGGTGCTGGGCCAAGATTGGCAACAATAGTTCCCCAGGAGCAAATAGCTGGGTTGGAGGGTGGAGTCTATGGCACTGTAACCTGTCTGAGGTCCCCCTCTCCGGCCTCCACTCCTCAAATCTCCAGGATTTTCCATACCTAAAGCTGGCAACTTTATCTCCTCCCCTCTCAGTAGCCTCTTATTTTGCCTTAAATTGGTTTTGATGCCAGCAGAGTGAGAAAATGCCAGAGGCTCTGGGTGGGTGCCTCATCGTAAATGCACCAAACAATTCCTAAAGATTTGCCAAAACACTACTCTGTCGACAAATTGCAGCACTTTGAATTAGCACCAGAGCTTTAAGAGCTCTCCAGCTGTCACCTGGAGACTGGCAACAGCTTGTTTGGAGGGTGGGGAGTATGGCATTGTATCTGTCTGAGGTCCTCCTCTTTCTCTTCCTCCTCCTCCTCCTCAGACCCCACCCTCAGCAGGCTTCATTCCTAAACTATCCTGGAAGTTTCCAACCTGGAGTTGGCAACCCTATGTCCTTTCCAGGCAACCAACAGCCTAACCTTTATCTGCCTGTCTGTCTTCAAGTTTACTTCCCCCCCCCAGCCTCTGCCTAGGGAAAGCAGCTGTCATAATTCTCCTCTCCCCCTATGAGGTATGTTAAGGTTGAAAGTGTGTGAATGGTCCATAATCCCCCAGGCAGCTTTTAAAACATGATCCTGGGACCTACACACCACCAGACATTCCAACTGCCTTGCGGGGGGGGGGAGTATGAGGTGTGGAATGGAGTGGGAACCAAAGCAGCTGACATCATTCTCCTCTCCCCCGTATGATCCACACAACTACCCTATGAGGCATGCTAAGGTTGAAAGTGTGTGAATGGTCCATAATCCCCCAGGCAGCTTTTAAAACATGAACCTGGGACCTGCACACCATCCTCAAAATATATATATATGGTATCAGATTGATCTAATTTCTGTGCACTGAGGACAAGCAAGTCCTAGGTTACAAACTGAACTCTCCAATGCAAGAACAAGATGCATTTCTTCCTTTAGGAGGTGCGATTGTCAGAAGAAAATAAAAAGGGTTCAGTTTTGTTTTTGCATGTGGGTAGGTATTCTGTTTGTAATAATTGTTTGGATACACTATATTTTTAATATGCTAGTTGTGATAATTTCATGCCAAGTAAAAATGTCCATAGTCATATTTTATGTTCCTAAAGTAACAGAATGACTTTCAATCTAGAAAAGACAAAAGAAATGCTAATGCAGCATTTTTTTCAATTTTTCCGAAAATTTCCGTTTCCCCCCGAAAAAAACTGGAAAAAACCCGGGGGATTTTCCGAGCTTCAAAATTTCCGGAAATTTTACATCTCTAGAGATCACCAAAGAAATCCAGGGTTGCTATGCAGAGGCAGGCAATGGCAAACCACTCCTGAATGTATTTTGCCTTGAAAACCCTAGAGGGTCGCCATAAGTCAGCCGTGACTCAAGAGCACTTTCCACCACCATCAGCATTGTGCATTAGTAGATATTTCTGCAAGCAGGCAGGGTGCAAACTGGAGATGGCAGGCTAGAGAAATCCTCTTTTTAGGCCCCTGCCACACCGGGGGGGGGGGAATGCGCGGCCTACGTGCGGCTTTTGGAAGCCGCACCAAAATAGACACGTGGCGGCGGGATCACACAGATCCCCCGAGCCGCGCACGATCAGATGCCGGAGAGGAAGCCACGGTTGGAAGACCGTGGCAGCTGGCTGTGCATGCGTGCGCATGCGCAGTTCGGCCAGGAGCCAGGGATGGGCCAGCAGAAAGACGCGCCGGCAATCCCACGGCCACGCTTGCCGTGTCCTTTCAGGTAAGACCACCTCTGTCGGTGGTTCTTTTTTGCAGCGGGTTTTCGGGGGTAGGGACGGATCGGGGACGGGTGCACGCCGCTTCCCAGATGTTGCGGTGAGATCGCGCCCGTTTGCTGCGCCCCCGATCCGTCCCTATCCCGGGCCAAACCCCTCCGTGTGACCGGGACCTTAGTTTTGCTATTGTGTTACGTATCTGTTGCAGAGGAAGACTCTGGAATTGAAAGCATTGCATTTGATTGAGAAGGAGCTAAGAAAAAGGGGGAGGGTGGAGAATGGAGTGTAGCACAACTTCAGCAGGTTTAGGAATAAGCCTCATTGTTTTCAAAAGGGACCTATTCCCAAGTATGCAGACATAAGACTGCAGCCTGCCTGGTCCTCTGCAAGTTCTCTCAGAAGCAACTCCCACTGGGTTCAGTGGACTTACTGTCTTGTAAGTGTATTGGTGAGGTCTGTAATTTATTAATCAATTGCCACCCTTGGAGAGTTAGACCCAACTCATGAACTTTAAACTGAAAGTGTGAAATATAAATGTTTTAAATTTCACACACACTCACACACATTTCCAGAAGATGGCACAATAGGATCTGGAATCCCTCCCTTTCCTTATTGGCTTGTTGTCTTCTTTTTTTTTAACACAAAACAACACCGGAAGGAAACTTCTGCTTCCTGATTATGACTACACTCGGGGCCTTATGACTTCGCAGCTGCCCAGTTACGTTAAAGTTAGAGACTACACCCGAGGTCTTAGCGGTCTGGCAACCACCATATCAAAGACTCTGGATTTCTTTGAACTCTGCATTCCGAAGACAAGAAGCAAGACATTCTTACAAAAATGTTCTCTGACCCTCTGAAACGGAACTGGCTGTTGTGACGACACCTTCAGCATCCAAGACGGTACTGATTTTTTGCCACTATGCGGATACCTATGTTAACCTAGGTAAGGCTACGGTCACACACACTAAATAATCTACTTTCAATCCACTTTCCAACTGGACTTTGCAAGTTCACACACTAAAAATCCAGTTGGAAAGTGCACTGAAAGTGGATTATTTAGCATGTGTGACTGCAGCCTAAGAGAGACAGAGTGGGCGTGGACAATACTTAGAAGCACTCTGTGGTGTTGGTGGGAGTTCAATTTCATGCAATAAAATGGCTGTCAAGTCCAGAGCTACATGCAAGCTTTATGGGCCTTCACGAATAGTGTTCGAGGTGGCCTCTCCATCACAGCTCATCCATCTGTCTCTCATTACACACTCTTTTTAGTCTGGTTGCAAAGCAGGGGTTTTTAATAAACAGCTTGTGTGCTATTGATAGCTTGTTGGCTGCTGCAGTGAAGCTCGCGTATCTCTTGGAAGAACCCAAAAAATGCGGCAAAAGATTCAGCTCTAAACTTTTTAGAATGGTTTTAGTTCATAAGATTTTAATCTGTGCCTTTTTGGTGCTGTTCAGCTGATAGCTTCATTTCCGGTGTTCTTCCTAGTGCATGTTCTGTTTATAGAACAGAACAAAACTTGGTAACAATAACATGCCGGTGGGGGGGTGGGGAGTAACTTAGGATATTTGTTCAGTACTCAGAAGTAGTTCTCATTAAAGAAAAGGTTGTAGAACCTTGGCAAAGGGAGCATAAATGCTACTTCAATGTTGCAGGGGCTTCTGGGCCCATCGCAAGAGGGGCTTGTATGGTTGCCAACTTCCTGGAAAGAGAAAATACCCATCTCTTCCATAAAGATGTAATTGGATGTTATTTACCAGCATGTCATGAAAAGCTTCAGCTGCCCATTTCTGAACATTAAAGCCTCTATTGCAGGCACAGGACATTTTCCTCCATGTTTGTTGGCTACTTTAGCTAGCCTTCGGGTGAGATCTGGGAATCTCCTGGAATTACAGCTCATCTCCAGACTACAGAGGTCAATTTTCCTGGAGAAGATGGATGCTTTGGAGGATGGACTTTATGGCATTGTACCTCACTGAGTTCCTGTTCTCCCCAGGCTCCATCCTCAAATCTCCAGGACTTTCCCAACCTGGATCTGGCAACCCTACCCCCCCATCCCCTGTCAGTGGCTGGGGGGACCTGGCAACCCTATCTTAGGGGGCTGCATGATTTTGCTCTCCGCTTCCTCCACTGCCTCCAGACAGTGGAAGGAAGATAGGTCCAGCATGGTGTAGTGGTTAAAGTGTCAGACTAAGCCGTGGGTGACCCAGGCTCTAATCGCCACTCTTCCATGGAAGCTTACTGGATAACCCTAAGCCAATCTCACACTCTCAGCCTCACCTACCTCACAGGGTTATTGAGAGAGTAAAATGGAGGATAAGAGAATTATATAAGCCACATTAGATCCCCATTGGGGAGAAAGGCAAGGGTATAAATCAAATAAATTTCTTTTTGGGGTGCCCCCTTTGCCAGGCTGTGGCAGATGTCCAACCATAGCAGTTGATTTGGACTGAAAGCAGGTTAAAAATATAATGAAGAATGATTTGAACAGAACCACGAGGTTTTTTACTATAGGCTTCTGGAAGGAAGAGCTGTGGCTCAGTGGCAGAGCATCTGCTTGGCCTGCAGAAGGTCCCAGGTTCAATCCCCAGCATCTCCAGCTGAAAGAAACACGTAGTAGGTGATGGGAAAGACCTCTGCTTGAGACCCTGGAGAGTGACTGCCAGTCTGAGTAGACAATACTGACTTTGATGGACCAAGGGTCTGAATCAGTTTAAGGCAGCTTCAAATCTCCTGTGTTTTTTTAATAAAAACAATTACCGAGGTATTCTGCACAATGTTAGGCCAGCAACATAGCATCTCACTGTGTGCTACGTATTGAGAGAGATGTGGCAGATCTTGTTTGAAACAGAGAGACAATTTTTTTTCTGGGCACCTTCAGTTCTGTACAACCAAATCCAAATGCTCCATAATTGGGGTCAGGTAAACTTGCTCCACACTGGGTCCAGCTCAGGAGGCCTGGCTCCCAGTAATGGATAGCATTGGAACAGCAGTCATTGCAGTTGCCCCCAAAGACATAAATCCTCTTCTGCCAGCGAGCGACTCCTGGATAAGAGATTGAGATGGGCAGTGGTGGGATACAGATGTCTTGGTTCATTGTGCCATCTTCTAGCAGGCAGGCACAGCGTCCAGTGAATCGGCGACCCCCGAGGGCGATGTCTTCAGTCAGCCCACCGACGACAAAGATACAGTTGTCCAGTGCAATGGCGCTTGCCTCACAGAATTCAAATGTCATGAGGACCTGGTTCCAGGCTTCTGATACAAGGTCATAAACCAGAAATCCCCCGAATGGGTTTGGCATGTCAGGGTCTCCTATGCTTGTCTCTCCACCGATAAGGTACAGTTTGTGCCTGAATGTTGCAGAGGCAAAGTAGGCCAAGGGGAAAGGCAGGCTGGAGATAGGGACCCATTCTTCTTGCTCCAAGTCAAAACATTCAGCAGATGTGAGGGGTCCCGTATTATCCCAGCCAGCAGCAGCATATAGCTTATTGTGGCAGAGTTGGAATGCATGCCACGCTCGAGCTGTAGACATGGAGGGGAGCTGGGACCAGCGGCCCCACAGTGCGTCATATACAAACAGATTGTCCGAACAGGAATTGTCTAAGCACCGTCCACCAGCTACGTAGAGTTTGTGGCCCTTGGAGGTGCAACCCGGGAAGGTCAGTGATTTCAGATCGGGCAGCTGTTCCCATTGTTCAGTGGAAAGGTCAAAGAAGTGCACGTGAGAATCTAGCTCCTCATTCTCTGGACTCATCTCGCTCCACTTTGGCAGCCCGATACACACCACTCCTTGGTGGTACATGCCCTGCCTGAGCCCTCCACTGGCCTTCAGTCTTTCTTCTGCACTGAGTTCCTCCCACTGCAGCCGCACGGGCTGGCAAAATCCTTCCATGTCACCCTGGACCTCAGCAAGCTCTTCCGGTGTCATCAAAGGAAGGCGGACGTGAGCCATCAGTTCTGCCAGTTTCAGGAGGCGCTCGCCAGGATTACACTTGACCCAGCGGCGCACGGCCCTGTACACAATCAGTTCAGACTCCACCACCAGGTTGTCTGAGGAGATGAGGCTGACCAGGGTGCTGAAGTCAAGAAGCAGAAAGGCCGGACACTCTGAAAGGTGTTCAAAATGGAAGGCGACGTAGGACAAGGTTGGGCGGAGGAGAGGCCGGTGGTTATGGGAATACGCCAGGGTGTAAAACTCCAGGCAATTCTCCATGGAAATGCTCCCCTTGAGGAATCTACAAGGAGCAACAAAGGAGTCTCATTTGGTTTGTTTATATATTTAAAACATTTCTATCCTGCCCTGTCTCTTTGAGCTCACGGTGAAGAACACTGTATCACTAAGCGGCAAGGTGACGGTTAAACGTGAAACATATTGCACAACATAACCAATCGGAAAATATTTACACGTAACACACATTCAAGAATTAAAGTACACAGAATTAGTAAATGCAGAGCTGGATCTGCTGGAAAAATTCACCCTCCACCAAATGCTTTCTGGAAGAGGACCGCCTTGCATGCTTTCTGGCAGGCCATTCCAGGGACTGGTAGCACCTATTTACTTCCCTTTACCTCCTGTCATTCTCCTTCTGTGCCTTGAACAGCTCCGATTTATGGGCAGAACCATGTGTATTCCATGCAGAGGTCGATTCGGGGGGAATCGCGGGGGATCGCAGTTCCCCCGGGTGAGGTGCGGGGGGGCGGGGCACACAACGAAGCCCTGCCCCCTGCTTCTGGCCGCCCCGCTTCCGGCCCTCATTCAGCCAGGAGGAGGCAGGAGAAGAGGGAGGGTAAGTTGCTTCCTCCCCGCCTCTCCCCACCCCTGCCTGCCTGGGGCCAGGGAGGGCCTTGGCGGGGCTTCCTCACACTCCCGCCGGCCTTGCAGGTCCACCGCCGGGCCCCTGATGTCAGGGGGTGTGGCATATGCTAATGAGTTATGCTAATGAGTTCCCCTAACTCTTTTTCTACGAAACGACCCCTGATTCCATGTATGCCAGACACAAATATTCTACATTCAAGTTTCTGAATTCTGCACCAAGACAACCAATACTCTGCAATTTATTGAAATTATGCATAAATTCCTCTTTATTTTTGCAATACTTTGCCACGTCTGTGAGCAAAGATTAGGGGTTAAAGAATTTCCCCCATTCTTTTCCTTTTATTGTTCCAAAAATTTGTTTGATGCTTAAAAAATGAATTGTGAAAATAGAGCACTAACAGTGTACTGGGGCTGTCAGCTAGTTATTTGTATTCTTCCACACTGATGTTATTAATACATGTACTCTCCTAAAACACTGCAATATATCAGCACGACCTATGTATGACTACATCAAGATTCATATTTGTATGACGTTTTACTGATATGTAAGGAGCTGTGGTGGCTGAAGTGGTTAAGACACTGAACTGCAGGCTGTGGAAGGTCGGTAGTTCAGCAGTTTGAGACCCGAGTTGCCTCATGACGGAGTGAGCTCCCGTCTCTAGTTCCAGCTCCTGCCAACCTAGCAGTTCGAAAGCAAGAAATTGCAAGTAGATAAATAGGTACCACTTCAGTGGGAAGGTAACAGCGTTCCGTGCGCCTTGGTGTTTAGTCATGCCGGCCACATGACCACGGAAACGTCTCCGGACAGCGCTGCCTCTTCGGCTTTGAAATGGAGATGAGCACCGCAACCCTAGAGTCGGATTCGACTGGCTTTCGAGCAAGGGAACCTTTACCTTTACTTTTACTGATATGTACATGTGCTGTTGTTGAGCATTGATGGTCGAGCATCACACAAAAAAGATGCAGTCAAGGTCTGATCACATCAAGACAGAGGAATGGAGAATTCTCACCATGTGGATTCAGCATTAGAAATACAGAACTTTGAAATCCTGGAGAAATTTGGATGAGGAGCTTCCTTACTGTGCA